GGCGACTCTGAATTAAATAAATAATCCCATTTCGAATATTGTCACTTAAATTGGAAAAACTCCCCTCGCGCATTTAACCCTTCGGGGGCGGGCGCGCAAAAAGGAGGTGTGACATATACATCATAGGAGGAGACTGATAATATACCTATAACAACATCAGGTGATGACTTCTGGTCTTGTCGTCCTGCCAATACATAAATGTGGTTCTGATGGCTACTCAAGCTAGATGCTCCGCCTCTGCCTCTACAATGACTTATTGGTGCTTGGGGACCTTGCCTAGGGGGCGTACTGATGATGACGAACCAGCTACAGATCCCACTGACTGAGCTATGATTGCATCACCTCTCATCGTACAATCCCTCATAACGTGGCCCAAATAACCACAAGTATAACAAACACCTAATCCCATATGGCACTACCCGGTATGCTACTTACCACATTGAGCACATCGTGGCAAGGGCAGCCTCATCTGATTTGACTCACCCCTATACTGAGAACTTGAGGCCCTGAAATTCTGACCAGACCCTGAATATGTGGAACGATCGAATCTCTTACCGCCAAACTGAGGGGGTACTGTTTTCTCTGACCAGCTCGAAACTCACCAAAAGGACCCAAGACTTCACTCTCTTATTCTGGTTCGTATCATGCTCACGATCGGCCCTCTATTTCTGTTTACGCTCCTCTACACCCTAAGCGTATGCCTGAATATGAGAAATATCCATGTTTGAATGAAGTGAGACCGACATATAATCGTTAAGCAAGTGAGGCTCTAACCCCATCACGAACCGGTGCACCCGATCCTCCATCTTAGATACAATAGTGGGAGCATACATAGCCAACGAATCAAACTGAAGGTTGTACTCCCGAACACTCATGTTACCCTACCGAAGGGTCAAGAACTTATCAACTCTGGCCCGTCTAATTCTGGTGGCAGATAATGATGAAGAAAAGCTTCTGTAAACTCCTGCCATACTGCTGGAGGAGCATCCTCACCTCTGGACAATTCCCAAGACTCATACCAATTGAATGCAACATTTTGGAGTCTATAGGAAGCTAGCTCAATTGACTCAGTCGCAGTGGACTTCATTACCCTTAGCGCCCTCTGCATTCTATCAATAAATACCTGAGGGTCCTCATTCGGATCTACCCCAGTGAAAATTGGAGGGTCTAAATTAATAAAGTCAAGAACCTTTGCACTCACGGACCTATCTGCATGACCAATACCTACTTCCTGACGCCGAGCATGTGCGGCTACTAATCAGGTCAATAACTGAATAACATCTCTCATCTCCTGAACCGGTGCATCTGGCTAAGGAGCTGGACGTACAGGGGCAGGTGCTGGAGCTGTTGCCCCTCAAAACTCTTCTGGAAAGGGCGGAGTATGTGAAGTCTGAGATAGAACCTCACCATGAGACTTTCCCTGAGCCTTGGTAACTCGTGGTGCTCGACTAATAGTCTCACCAACCACGGACTTTCCCTTCTGGGCGGCCGTACTCTTTGGAGGCATCACTGAAAATATAACATATCGTTAGGAACATGAATTCTTGTATCGCACGATCTGAGATAGAAAGAGAGGATAACATCATATATGTTCTGTAGACTCCTGTCTATAAGTGTAATGCACAACACACCCATAAATAAGACTCTACTAGACACGGTCTGTAGACAACCCTAGGATAGAACTGCTCTGATACCACTTTTGTCATGACACAAACCGATGGGCCGCGATGGGTGCCTGAGTCCTACCTGTCAAACACCCCTAAGCATGCATCTAAGATATGAACCTGAATAACTTCTGCTGAATCACGAAAATAACATACAAGAAGGAAACCCGCCAATAAGGCATATATACATATACATGCAGAATATAGTGGGCGAGTCGGCGAGGCTGCTATAGACAACTATACATCCAAAACTGAAAGCTGACAAGGCCACATACAACCCAACTAGACATACTATCTACAGACCTCTAATGGAAACATAATTGTACAAAGACGGGACTGAGCCATGTCATACCCATATAAATATATAAACATATCATACCAAAATCAAAAGCAGCTTCGGATCAAGTGGAGCATGCTAACTCTCGCTGATCAGGGATCCTAAGAAGGGGGACAGTCAGCTTGCCTCCCTGCACCTGCGGGCATAAAACGCAGGCCCCGTGAAATAGGGTGTCATTACAAAAAATGTACTGAGTATGTAAGGAATAAAAATTTGTACGTAAAAGACATAGATGAAATATAGAATAAAGAAACACATCTTTAAATCTGAATAACTTTGTAAATTCTGAAACATTTATAATGTCATGCACATGCGTATAAATGTCGTGCCATGCATAGGTATGGGTGTACATAATATCATCAAGCCACTGAGAGCATCCTATCATATCGTCTCGGTCACTGTGGGCAACATCATCAACATATACCAGCTAATCAGGCGGTGTTGCGTATATAACACCGTAAACTTTTTCCATATCCCATATACATATATTTACATATACACGCGTATATAACGCCATCTGGTCATGGGTTAATGCACATGTATAAATGGGTGAAATGCGTGAAAATACGTAATAATCTCAATATTCCTTCCGGATAAACTTTTTCAACTGCGTATTATTCTCAGACCCATGAAGAGAAGATAATAATAATTCTCATGGGAAATCAAAAATATAGACACCCCTACTATTTCTATGAATAGAGTAATTTATGAAAACTGTGCGTTTGCTCGTTTCTTCTGTATAATTTGGACCATACCAAAAGAAAGAAAGGATGGCCTTAACATACCTGGAGTAGGAAAAACTCTTGACATCATCTCCCTTTTCTCTTAAAACACTCTCGACGTAACCCTAGTTCTAACACGCTGTCACCGGCGGAAATATTCTCTTTATGAATCTTCCATGGATTCTCTGGCCAGACTTGGCTTCTACACGCAATGGCTCCTTAATTTTGGATCCTCGAGAAGATCTCGAAGAACCTAGTTGGTTTTGGTTTGGAACTTTGCTTGTTAGCCTGTCTTAGGCCATGGTTCGACTGTGAGTGAGAACTTCTATTTATTTTGTTACGAATCTATGAGTTTTTGACCTGTTCTCTCACTTCTGCTATTTTTTTCCTGAAAACCCTAGTTCATTGTTGTCAACTCTTCTCAGATCTTCATAGATCTGAGATGATTTGGGTATTATCAAGTGTTTTCCTCCAAAAACCCCTTACTTTAATTGATTATCTCGCTTTTTAATCATTCTTCTTAAACTAGGGTTTATCCCGAAATGTTTTTCAAACATTTTCCTAAGTTATTAACGTTTAATAAGATGTTTCTTCTTCACCTCGACTGATTTTTTGCATGAGCGTTCAAACCCTAGTTGATTCTATATGTTTATTTTTCCAGTCTTTGCTTCGATTTTGAGTCTTTCAGTGTTACCAATTGCATTAACTCATCCTGTATTTTTGACTTACATGATTTTCCTTTGTCAAGTCCAGTATTTTGTAGTTTTACCCTAATTGAGCCCTATTAGGGTTTTTTTGTTTTTTTTTTATTATTATTATTTTTTTGTACAATGCAACCCTTACTATTATTCCTCTTCCTCGAACACAATTCACTATTAAGTTACAAATATGCTGATAGTTCTTTCGGGTACAACTTGATTATTTCGTCTCACGGCATTTTAACGTCCAATGCCACACAACAACATGAAACATGTATGGAGTTATTCAAAGTACATGATGTAACATGAAGGAAATACACATTGTATCTACAGGCCGCATGTTTAAAATGGATATGAAGAGCTTGTGAACCAGTTACAATAGGCATGCATGTTTTGGTAAGCAACGCAGGTTATTCAGAGAATAGAAACACCAGAGATAGGACAACCTTAGTGTAGCATTCACAGTGGGAGTGAACTCATCCCGAATAACCAACTGACCAAAGGCAGCTCCAATCCATGTTCGAATCTGCCATGTCAAGGAGATGCATGTAGCTAGTCACACATCCTCCTAATTGTGTTAAAACTTCAACCCTCTTTAGTTGTGGATAAACACAACTGCCTTGAGATGAATGCTTGTCTTGTTTTTATATATACTATTGTTCAACAGCTATTCTGCTATCCTCTGTGCGTGGTGGTCTCCATTTGCGGTCAAAGATATTCTTCTCTATGGTTTTCTGGGGCTTCAATCTTTCATCAAAAAGCTCCAGCAACTCTTGCAATTCAACACCTGTTAAGGCAGACGTCCTGACATGTGTAGCTGTAGCAGACTCAGAGACGGACTGGGTTTCACTACTAATAACCTCCGACTTCTTAGAGTGGTTGTTTTGCTGGACCTCTGTACTCCCACAGCCCACCGAGGAACTATTGTAGTCAACCCAGGAATCTTGTTCATCGCCTGAGACCAACCAGTCATCAGAGTAGTCACCTTGTTGATCATCTATGACCTGTTCAAGCTTGCCTGATTGCTCAAGGTCCTCATTTTCATTAGTCTCATAATCAGGGAGATCCTCTTCACACAATTTATTGGATGTTACATCATTGTTTTCGTCTGACCAGCTAGAAACTTCATCCTCGTTGCAATAACCATCTCCAACGAAATCCTCGTGAAGATCAATCTACATAAATAAATAAAAAGTACTGAAGCAATGCATCTGGATCCATGTTTTAGAATCCGATTATCACTGTCTGTCTTTAAATTTAGGGAATGGTAGCTATTTTCCCTACCTTATTCCAAACTTCAATCATATTCTGGAGCTTATGCTCAGAGACTCCTATCTTCCCAAGAACTTGCAACACTGCTTCCCGCTGCTCCTTTAGATCAGGTGCACTTGAGTCCAGCACATGCACAAGGAGGTCAGCTTCAACAACTTCTTCCAATGTTGCATGAAAGGCTTCTACTAGCTGCAAAACTTTCAGGCTAATTTCTATATATTTGTGAAGTCTTTACTTAGTTTATTTTCTATTTATGGGAGTTGATATATTCTTTCCATAAATCATTGTTACTTTGAAATTTGGCTGATTGATTTGCCCTGTTAGAGATTTATATGCCTAAGTCTTGTTTGTTTCCCTATTTACGGCCTTAATTAGTCATTCTTGCCTTATTTGATAACCTGTATATTTGTTGATTCCTTTATATGATTCTTTCCTTAAATAGACTTCCTATTATTGCTTTTTGGCTAATTGCCTTCAATTAAGGGAGGTTCATTCTGAACCCTCATGTGATTGGATTCTGTGACTTCTGTAATTGACTAAAGTTGATTTTTTTACCTTAATTACCCTACTCTCGAACTACTATATAAACTCTCTTATTTTTTACCTCAAAAACACAGATAATAGTTCAAAATATACACATACACACAAACTTTCTCTCATCTCTCTCTGCTACTTGTACTCATTGTTTGTCTAGCCGGCTGGAAGCGCCAAGACTGTTGAATCCTGCTTACTTTACCTTCTATTTTTGATTCCTTAACTAGTATGTTTCCATCTCTAATGTCATTATGAAGTTCAAACCTATATGATTATCTGTTGCTCCATGTCTGTTAAATCCATGTCTCTTCTGCACTAGTTTAATTACTTATGTACTTAATGCTACATTCTTTCATGTCTACTGCCATGATCAACATGTTTAAGTTCATTATTCCATGTCAATCGCTTTAATCAACATGCTATTCCTGTTTAAATTTCCAGTCCGTTTATTGCTTTAAACCAATGTGTCTACTTTTACGTTTTAGGCCCTTATCTCTTCTATCCACTAACTTTAATTATACCATGTGGTTAAAACCCCTTCCCTCAGCAATACCATTTCTACACTTAGTCTCTATGCTTTACTTTATATTACCACGTTAGCAACAAGTATGATTTCCCTGTTAAGACTCTGAATCGGTAGTCTATGTTCTAATGTTATGAATTTGGTTGCTAAATGATTATTAACCCCTATCTCTCCTTGATACTCAATGTGCTCTCTCTTGTTTTTGTGTTTCTGAATCTTGTGTACCCAACCCTCTATCCATATATGTACAGTTGTTGCTCCATATGCTCCCCTAGACCTTATTATGTGTTTGAATTCTCTATGTTCCTAACCCCCTTGACCCCTGATTGTAAAACTGATTGCTAAATGGTTGTGATTCTAGGCATTCTAAGTCTGTGTGATTGTATCCTTGCTCTTTTCAGAATTGACCTCAAAACTATTTTCACTCTTAGTATTTTCTCTAAACTGTATTTATTTTTGAAAACCTTTTTCACTCCTGAAAGTTTATTTCAGCACTGTTTTACTAAGCTCTTCCAAACTATGTCAAGCACTCTCACTTCTACTCTTAGATTATTTAAGTTATGCCCCTCTGGTGTGTGTACTACTTAGGGATCCTTGAGGTTCCTCTGAACTCTGGCACACCAGGGCTGGCCCTTCTACACTGCACTTAACCAATCCCTATTTGAGAAAGGTCTTGGTGTGAGCACTGCCTGGGATCCTTGAGGTCCTTAGGGAACTCTGACACACCAAGACACACTATTGGCTATGAGATATTTGGCTTCTGAGACTGTATTGAAGGCTTGGCATTCCCAGGTTCACTTTGGGCCTGATTTAGGCTCCCAATAGCATAGTTTAATTTACTTATGTAATTCAATTGATCCTGGTCTGTAATAATTTTCTTTATAAACAGATATTGGGGTAATTATGAAAAGGGGAGGGTTCCTATATGATTTTTGTGGGAAACCGGGTAGATATCATGCTTTAGGTTTACATATATGTTGATTTGTAGTAGATATTATGCCTTACGTTTATATATATGCAGTAGAAATCATGCTCTTAGGGTTATATATTTATATATATTTGCAGTAGAAATCTTGTTTTGAGTATATATTATAGAAATCATGCTTTAGGTCTATATGTTATGTTACATGCATCAGAAACATGTCATAGGTCAATGTTATTTTCATTAGAAATCCTGCCTTAGGGTGCTCACGTTTATTACCTTTGCATATCAGAAAACATGTTCTAGTTCATCACTTCTTTTCATCTGATTCTTCATAAGTTGTTATCGCCCGGGAATCGTGTCATTAAACTACTGTTGTAATCACGTTTAATAAAATGACCATCTCTCTATCTGCATTTGAAATCCTGCTTTAGGACCCTGTTTGCATTTGGATCTAAATCATGTCTACGTCGCTTGAATGAATAATTGTCTATAAAAGGTTTTAAAACAGCCCCACACATAAATATCATGTTCTAGTATAAACCTATATGAAATCAGTTTTGTAACATTAATCGCCTAGATCAGCATGCCTATAGGACTGGATAATTTCAAGTTGTTTTAACTAGTTCTCAGAATTATGATTACATACAGACCAGCGTCTAGGTAAGTCTTAGGTAAGTAATGGTCTTATAACTGTGAAATTATGCTACGTTTATGTGTGAAACTGTCTAGTTTTAACAGGTTTTAAAATCAGTAGGCAAACTGATTAAGATTCTGCCACTTCACCTTAAAACAAAAGCTGCATATTTTGTGTTTGTGATGTTCATCTAGATATCATGTTCTAGGGCCTTCTGAATTTCTTTAAAATCAGTTGTTTCAGACGTGCTACGCATTTGTTTGTGTGTAGAGGTAAACATGAGCCCCTAATTGCTTCCCTATTTGGCAATCCTACGTGTTCTTTGTTGTTGCTTAGATTTTACATTTTAAAATACCTTAGGAGTGTCTAGAACTGCCTAAGTATAGAGGTCCTAAACACCTCCGGGACCACAAGGAAGGGAGGGGTAAAGCACGCTTAGAGCTCATTAATTAAATTCGTTTATATAACCACTAAGGGGAGGGTAATGGGTAGCAAGAAGATATGATGACCTGTGCGCTAATGCCACGTGTAACCCCTCTTGTTGAGGAAGGCTTGCCGGGTATTGTGCAGATGTGATCCTATAGGCTAACAAACTTAGGACTTCCCTTCCTTAATTATGTATGTATGCGTAGACTATTCAAACTTTCTTAATTTATGTATGTATGGTTAGACTGTTCAAACTTCCTTAACTTAAGTATGTGCGCTTAGACTGTCCAAACTTCTTAAATTTATGTATGTGTGCTTGGACCGTCTAAACTTTCTTGATTATATATGTGTGCTTAGACTGCATATACTACCCTTATTTGCAATTGTGTGCTTAGACTGCTTACATGTTAAATGACTAATTCACATAACTAAGTTCGACCGGGACCCACTGTTGTGGACCGCAAGGGGTGCCTAACAGCTTCCCCTCAAGGTTATTTCCGGCCCCTTACCCTAATCTCTGGTAATGCAAACTGGTTACATGAGTTAATTGCTCTAGGTTCCCTAACGCACCTTAATCCGTTAGGTGGCGACTCTTCAAATACCCAATTCTCAAAAGGAAACGAGTTTTTCCCAATGAATGTCGAAACCCGGACTCTGCGCGAAAAAACAGGTTGCGACACCAATCACAAATCGGCATGAAAGACTATGTTTATAGTATCCGAGATTTCTTTACAATTAACCTCAAATACTGGGGGGATTTCCCTCGGATAACGAATTGTTCTAGCAAGAAAATTATTTCGATATGAAAGGGACTCAATAGATAAGATTTATTGTAAGGTCCAATTGGTCAAAAAGAGTCATGCATACATAGATTACTCGAGCCCTGACATAATACATGTACATATGTGTGACTATTTTTGACAAGAATAAAGAGAAGTACTTTCCTTGCAACTATCTAATGCCTTGGGAAAATTCCCACTTTACAACCCTGTATTTTCGATCTATTATGGAAACGAGCCTAAAGGCCGATTGTAACCAGAATTCGGATAATCACTACTACACTCGGGGACTGTCGTCGGTAAAATAAACTCGAACAGATCGAACTATTGAACATCGAAGGCATAAGACCTCTTAGGCAACCCTCGAATTATAGAGGTCACGGCCATACCCACTCAGGGACTGTTATCTTAGGATATTCTGGATAACTCGGGAAAGCGAGCCCACTAGGGTACACCCGAACTAAAAGGCTATGCCAATTTAACACGGTTTGGAGACGTCTGAAATCTGTAACAAATATAGGCCTTCGAAAAAGAAAAAAATTCTTTCACAACCGGTTCTAACGGCTCCCTTCAGCAGAATCTTAAACTTAAGATATTTTTGGAAAAAAACCTCGATAACACTGAAACCCGATAACGCCTTAACCTAGAAGGGCAATAAAGGCAAGGTTTGTTTGAATCCTCGAACACAATCTTATTATTTTGTGCTAAGGCATCCCAACCTTCGTGAATACAAGAAATAAAGCAAAGGAAAAACTTTAGAGCTAAAAAGGGGTGGAAAGCCTTATGTATATATAAAAATGATCGTTTACCAAAGCTAGATCAGCAAAAAACAAAAGAAAGTAAAATATAAAGGCCTATGGGCTACTTTTTCTTCTAGTTCGAGAGATTATTCTTACTCGATAGAAAGCTTAAGGGCTATCTTATTTCGAGTTTAGGCGAGACCTCACTAGACTATTAAAGCCTAGGGATTACTTTTATTTTTAAGTTCGAGAAACCACTCTCACTCGGCTATCAAACTTAAGGGTTACCTTAATTCAAGTTCAAATAAATGATCTCACACGGCATAAAACTGCCGCAGTTCAAATTCGAGCTTTCGATCGAGGTTTACCGGTCGGAAATGGTCGAGAATAGTACTTAACATCGGTCCTTACCATCTCAAAGCTTCGAATGCGATCCTATTATTTCATGCTAAGGCACTTGGACCTTCGTATAAATTAACCTAAAAGACAGAAAATTCAAAAGCCATGGAAGAGAAGAAAGTTTTTACATGTATCTCAAAAGCCTTTTTACAATGGCCATATGGCCCGATTAAGAGTTCTTTACAAGGGCCGATCGGCCTCAAAATAAAAACAAAAAATTGCAAAAATTACAAAGCCTAAGAAGCACGGTCCTTATCAGAAGAAGCATCTTTGCCCTCAGAGTCTTCTCCACTTCTAGATTCGCTCAAAGCCTTGGAGTCTTCCTCGGGAAAAGCCAGCTTCCGAGCCTTTGTTTCCTCTGCCCTAGCAATCTCGATTTCAGCAGATATATCGAAGCTTTGATCACGGGCCCCCTCGAGGGCCTCCTTTCGAGCTTTCCACCTCGCGTGATCCACCATGCTTTTGTCCTGCGCTAGGGTGGCTTCAACATCGACCTTGTATTGGGTCGCATTAGCCTGAGCTTTATTATTGGACGCGGCCACCTCAAATCGGACCACCTCGAGCTCTTTGGCCAAGTTGGCTAAATTGGACTAAAGCTCCTCGATTTTTTTTGCCTGAACCGAGGCATTCTCCCTTGCAGCCCGAAGCTGAAACTTGGCTAACTCCAGCTCTGCTTGGATGGCCTCCTTTTTTTAGGCTAAAATGTCCATACACCCCTTGAACGTTTTATCCTCGGCTTGTACTTTATCTATTTTCCTTTGAAGGCCCTGGATCTGTTCGAGCCTCTGTCGAACTTGCAGAATCAGATCGTTAATTGTTATCTCCAAATCATCTTCACTATCATGAAGCACACGGAATAGGTGCTCGGCCATCTCGACATGCTCATCTCGAGTCATCACCAAATCTGCCTAAAGCTTCTCACTAAGAATCTTGTAGGTATCACATTTCTCAGTGAGGCCCTGAACCTCATCCTTGCGCTCCTCTCGGTTTCGAGGAAGGCCTCGTGATGCAACACCGAAGACTACAAATAAGGAAGAGAATGTTAAAATTATCTACAATTCAACGTTTTAAATAGATAATGGAATGGCCCTCAAACTTATTCGATTCAGAGCATACTGGGCCTCGTTGAACAAACAAGCAACCTCCACTTCATCCATTTTGTGTTGGTCTTCTTCGGTGACCAAGTATTAATGATAGCTAGAAATCCCTACGGGGGCGAAAAGTACCCAAACGTCTTCCGGGACCGAAATAATAATTAATCGCTTACGCCCGGGATCGACACTAGCGGCCAGAAACTAATTGGTCAGTTTAAAGTTCGAGGAAACCTCATTCGAACTCTTCCTCGGTACATCCAAGTAAGCTAGACCGGTGACATCTTCCACTCCAATGATATAGCCATGGAAAAGATCTTCTGCTCCGTGGACCCCTTCCCCGTGGCAAGACTCCATCGCCCGAGCTTTATGCATCATCGACTTAGTAAATAAAGGAGGCGAGGGGGAATCTCCGGTATTTACCACCCTAAGTGAATCTTTTGGAGCACTACCTTCATCTCGGAAAGTCTCAAACATGTTTTTTTCACCAACATCGATCGCCTCCTCAATAGCCTTCTCACCTCGAGGTAAAGCATCTTTGACTTTTTTCAGCTCAAGGACTTCGTCTAATCGAGGCTCAGCAGTTTCAGCTCTCGCCGGCCCAGTGGTTCCTTGAATTTTGGTGTCATCTCGCACACGGGCCACCAGCACGGAGTCTTCTCCTTCTTCCTCTTCTTCGGACTCATCCCTTAGTCGTTGGACTGAATTCAAAGTTAGATAGATGATGTTCCCCTTAGGCTTAGGGGGCCTCCTAGCCAGTCTTTTCTTTTCCGGGCCCGGAGAGCTCGAAGCCTCTTTTCTTTTGTTCTCTTTGGCCTGCTTCGGGGAAGATGATGACAAAAGTGCTTCTTCTTGAGCAGATGGGGGCCTCATTGCTACATCCTTCCCGAGGCCTACAAAAGGAAAAAGACTAGAAAGCTCAATGCAAAGCATGAATGGAAACCGTACTAAGAAAAGAAGATTACCATGGTTACGGGCCTCCCATTGAACCTATGATAACTCCATCCAAGCACGCTCGGAGTAAGACTTTTGTAACACTGTTTACTGTAAAAATGGTAATAACAATTAAATTTATTGATGGGACTCTAAAAATATGTGATCTATTTTTATGCTAGTTTATTAAGCAGTTGATGTTAAGTATATGAGACTCAGAGACGAAATAAAGTTAGAGAGAGAGCTATAACTAAACCGTTGGGTCAGCTATTCAGGGCCTCGAGCCGGTCGATTTGGGGCCTCAAAGTCAATTCCAGGGCTTAGACTCGAGCTATAGTGGGTGATCGGGGTAGGGCTAATAGTTATAAAATAATCAACGAAGGATCTTTATGGCCAATAATAAGCAATAAATGATAAACAAATATGAAGACAGTAAATAAAAGCATTAATATCAAGAGAGTGTATGAGAGAGCAAAGAGAATGTTTTTCTATATTTCTTATGGAGCGGATGGAGCAACAGCCGAGCCCCTACAAAATGTCAAAGATTCCCTATATATAGGAGGGGAACTCCAACATAGTACAAAAGCATTAATTACAAAAGTGGGGGGATGGGACAACTAGATGGCACATAGCTCTGCCAGTATTAGCTGCATGCCTAGGGAGCTCTCTAGTCCCATCATGACCGCTGCCAACATTGTCGTTAGGCCGGGCATCAACGAACCTCGAGGGAGGGAGATCAACCACAGCCTCGCAACCTCGAGATCTGGAGGTGATCCCCCGAAATGCCTTAATGACGAGAAATTGGACCCTCTGATTTCGCTGTATACAAACACTAAGCCCTCAACCCATTGCCTAAGATCGGGGATCATTTCTGGCACGTGGGCCACAAATACAACACAAAAGAAACATAGACGAGGAAAGAAGATGAGAAGCAAAAACGCAAAGTTAGGTATTCAAGGCGAAGCAACACTTACAATTCATGTTCCATTTTTCAGGAAACAACATGTTTTCGGTAGGGATTAGGTCCGAAGTCTTTATTTGGACTAATCGACCCATCCAACCTCGGTCTCGGGTCTTGTCTATACGCGAGAATGGGGGTTGGTGGCTTGGCGGCAAAGCTTGATGAAACCTCCTCAATAAAGTCGGGGGATATAGAGAAGCATAAGATGATCGAGGGTAATAGGGTGCTCCTTGATCTTGTTTACAGAAAATCGAAGGAGGATCATGATCGTCCAGAATGATGGATGGATCTAGCCAAGGGTCGCATTGTACCTCTTGCAGAAGGCGATAATGATGGGATCTAAAGGACCCAATGTGAAAGGATAAGTGTAAACACTTTAAAACCCTTTCACATGAGTAGTGATTGATTCCTTAGGCGAGGGCACCACCACGTATTTATCAACCTAGTTGCAGTCCTTTTTGAATCAGTAATTGTACATATGTATCTCGATATCGGTTCGCATAGACCCAGTGTCGAGGGTGTGTTCTCTACCTTAAAATCCGCAGCAGTAAGGAACTTTTTCGGAACAAAGTCATCTATAAGAGGTTTCGTCGCTGGCAAGCCTTGATGAAGAAGCGGTTTCCTTGTGTGGAATGGTTTTTGAGGTCTTAGCCATTTTTATAAATGGAGAAGAATAAAACGAAGGAGGAACACTTGCTATTTTGCAATAAAACAAGTAAAGAAACTCAGAGATCTGAAAATACAAAGCTCTGAGGAAGGCAAAGGATTTTGAAGATTAGATTGTAGAAGATTTGTAAGTAAAGTTTGAAAAAAATGAAGAAAGATATATTTATAGGTTTACGATGACGATTCAAATCCGGTAGTGTCCAGTCGTCGACTTGCTCGCATTAAATGCATGGGAAACTGTACCAACAAGATGTTTCGGTTAACTTTGTTGCTTACGTCATGTTGCTTATGCTACAATGTATCAAGGTGAAGATCGAGGGCTCAAGTCGTTTGTTGTCATTACTCTCCAAAAAATGAGGGGATTATATATATACAGTTAAAATCGGGTTTGCCCTTTTTGTGAGACTGATCGAGGCTGGAGCATGATAAGTCAGGGATCAGCTTCGATTTATATTAGACTATGGCTCAGAGTTAGATTGTCAAGCTCGAGACCCTGAGACCGATTAAGATCGAGACTGATCAAAATCGAGACCGACCAAGATCAGGACAGAACAAGATGGAAATCGAGGGTAGCTTACCGGGTTGAATAACGACAAGACGAAATATCCGCGATGGGGCGAGGATCACGTCAAAAATCCCGGCACGTATCAAGAGAAGGCCGATTAATTAGTCAATCATATGATTTCTTACTGTATTTAGAATTGTAACAAGAGTAGGACTCCCCTACTATATAAAGGGGGTCTAGTCATTTGTAAAAGGGAGGATATTCACGTTACATAAAGCAATACATCATATCCGTAAGCTCTCAATAGTTTATCATTCTATTCATACTTTCCAATAAAGTACTTGTTTGATTCGAGGGTGACCTAGCTCGAGGATCAAAGACAGACATCTCATTTGGTTTGTTTTACTCTTATTTTTATTGAATTTCAATATCTATTTACGTTTTCTCTCAGTTTGTGCCAAGTGAAATCACGTGTCCTTAAACTTACAGTATAAATTTAATTGTTATCTATTTTTCGGGTAAACAATACTCTTTATTTAATTTGGAAACTTAAAAGATAACACGTCTACGTGTGGAGTCGCTTTTAATTTCCTTTCTGTATCTTGTACGTAAAATGTGGCTCGTGTGACAATTACATTGGATTACATCTATGACCTATCTTTGGATCTAAAGTGTGGTTTAATAAACATAAGGGCTAATGTCTAATTGATTAAATTAGGGGGTGGTTTGCTGAAAGTAAATAAGTGCCTAATAACTTATCACCCGATGGAATGTGAGAAATAAAATGACTTCAATTTTCAATAACCCCCAGTCCAAACAGAAAAAGGGTGTTGTAAACAAATAGTTACACAAATAGTTGGTCAGATATTCACTATTTACTCGGAGGCATCTCGACATACTTGGGGCCTAAAGCGCAATTACAATTAGAGCCCCAAATTTTTTTGAAATTGATTTTTAATAATTATTTTTTAATTGAAAATATAGCTAACCGATTTAATCATTCTTGAGACGTTAGTGATCTTATGTAAGATTTTATCTATTTTATTTTGAAAAACTTCTTTCCGTTGAGTCAATTGTTAAGCATTTGAAAAAGAATCAAGTCTTTTTATGTAATTAAGTATATCGATTAGAGTATTATTTGTCACTTGTACTATTTTTCTTAACACTTTAATTCGAAATATAAATTTAAGTCATCAATATTATAGTGAATATTATGCTTTAGTGGTCTGAATGTAAAAAATGCAAAATGAAGGTTATATTATGTTTTAGGAATAAAATATGTTTACTTTATTTGGGAGGACTTTTCCATCCCTCAACAGTCACATCAACTTCACAATAATAATCTTTTACTATAAAATGCTTAAACTTTTTAAGAAAAAATTAGCACATAACATATTCCTTTTAAAATTGAGGCACCTCGAAATTAGGGGCCTAAGACATATGTCTTACTTGCCTAGCCCTTCAGTTGGTCATGTATTTACTTTTTTTAGCCGGTATCATAGATTATAAATTGAGTATACACAGTTATACCTATATTATACATGAATTATACATATATAATACATCCGTCGGTTATTTTTAATTTAAAAAATTAAATTGGCGGCTAGTTGGGTTAATTATTAATATCGGCAAACAACCTATGATAACAGTCACAAATTAAATCCGTTTATATCTTGAATTCCCTCGTTCAATTAAATAGGAGTAAGTAAGAATTAT